TGGTACACAATTAACATCTCATTCTACCATAAAGAGTATGCTAAATACCCCAGTCATTGCTTTCTCTGCCTGGAATTGAAATAAGTGTTTGTCCTAATTCATATGCTATCTGATGTGAAGTGGGGTTGCTTTGTACTGCACTACACCATTAATCTAATTATAGATAGCTGCAAATGAAGTGCTGTCTGAGCTGGGAGATTGAAGAAAATAGCCTTTGTCATTTAGCATGACTCTGTGAAGCAAGATCACACTTTACAGGGCAGTACTACAAAATGGAAATCTCAATAATATTGCTGCCTGTTGCATCTTTTCTAATTACAACAGCATTGTAAACGTAACTGGGCACTGATATATAAATAGAGCTGTAGATACGCTGTCATGTGGGTTGTCAGAGAGAGTCCTCCGAGTGCTGTTGGATTAAATGATGCATCCTGATTGACAGCTACCTTGAGACTGTGCCGATGGAGTTGTCACAGCATTATGCTAACAGGCTGCTCCAGTGACAGCAGCTGTACAAGGCGCTTTCGTCGCTATCTGTTCATTTCACCTTCGCATGGGTTGTGCTTCCAAGAGAAGGACAGACTTTAATTGTGTATGTTTTTAGTGTTGTTTCTTGGCGATTTGGGTTGGTTTGGTATTGTTGGGCCTGACACTGAAGTAGAGGGGAATGTATTTTGCGCAGCCTTGAACGTTTAGTACAGTTTTCCTCAAGTGTTCACTCTGTTTCTCACAAAGAACATAGGAAATAAAGACAAGGTTGGATTATGTTTCTTATTCCACCGGAGTGTTTTAATTTCCATTTAGTGTTTTTCTCTTTTTTTCTGACATGCTGTTTTTTTAAGAGATGTGTCATTTTTGCAGCTAATCATTGTGGTCACTTGAAAAACACTGGCAGTTTTTCTGTAGCTCAAGTTAGGAAAGTAGACATTTAGGGAAACATTTGAGTGTTAGCTCTCAGTGCCGCACTGTGAAAATGAAGATGCAGCTTAATTTTGGAGATCTTTGGGGCTAGAAGGTGTAGAACTTTGAATAAGAAGAGATCCTTATATTTGAAGAAAGGGATTTGCCGCCTCACTGAGTGCTGATGAATTGTGTATATGGCCAATGCTTCAGGGTATCAAAATAATTGATGTAAAATAATTCACAGTAAATGTTCATCATCTAAGGTTCATCATTTACCTTGACCCAGTGTTGACTGAGATGGCCCCCAATTGACATGAAAAAAACATATGGTTCTTCCACTATACATATCCTCATTATTGGAAGAATGGTATAGAAATGGAAATTGAAGCTATGCTACTTTAAAAGAAACGAAACTAAAGGCTCAAAAATCACAACTGAAAAAATATGCGAAGCAAACCGAAAGCAGTCATTTTGCCAGGAGCCCACAGACCTCTAAATCATACAAACGTGACAATGTGGGATGTGTAACACTGCTGGTGAATCTGGAGGCCTTCAAAGAGGCACATGGATTTAAACTCCGTAAGGAGATTCATGCACTAAACTAGTATAGACAGCAGCAAGATGGTGTTTTGTGTGACCGTCTGAGGTGTTTAGGGCATCCATAGTGGGGGAGGATCTCTACTGTTTGTGGCCCAGAGCTGTGTATGTGGATGGCACCAATGGCCGTGCCCATTTGCAGGATGTTTTTTTAATCCAAGCCATGATTGGTCCCCTCCTTTTTCCCCAGCAGCCACAGCATTCTACTTCCATCTTTTCTCATCAGGTTCCGTGTTAAGAGCTGTATGTTAATTTCTAAAACAATTCCATTGTGTTCCTTTTAATTGTCCATCTCTTTGTTTTCTTCCTGATCCTTTCATGTCTGGTATGATTTTTTTTCTTTTGAACTTTTTGAGAGAAATTTTCTTGTTAGACATGGTTTTTCATTGCAGACAACATAAAATTAATTTGTTTAGAGCCTGGGCTAGGATCATTTTACCATAATTATATTATGAGATAAGACCTCCATCCGTCCCCTTATTGTCTGTATGAACAGGGGAGTCTGGCAAGGCTTAGTCTGGAGACCACCTGGTCTACTTACATGGTGAGGTGTGTTTTTCAAGAACTTATTAATTTGACTGTGGTTTGGAGAGCACCTTCCTAAACCCACAAAGTGAGGTTCCACCTAATAACCCACAGCCACAGAACCAACAAGCAGCTTCTAATCCCTCAAGCTGACGTTTCTCATGACCTTGCAGGGTGAGTACCTCTGGCTTCTAGGATTGTGCTTCTCTGTTCTGTTGACTAGCCTTTTAAAACCTGGGGCTCCCACCCTCAAAACATCGTTTGTGTTTTTTCTCCTTGAAAATAATAACAACAGTTTAAAATCAACACTCTCCAGAGACATTTTACAGAATCCATTAGGAATATTTAAATGCCTAGCATAAAACTAAACTGCATGCGTCATAGAGCATTTTCCTGAAATCTCTCAACTAGTTGGCTGCTCTGCCCATGCCCCCTAAGAATTCAGAGAAACCAATAAATAGCAGTTTTGATCATAAACTTTGAAAGCCTTAGTGTACATTCTTAAATGACTTCTTTTCTGGGGCATCAAAAAGCTTTTACGGTTCTCACCAGGCAATTCGTTCTGATGGGCCCATATGCTGTACTCTGCTTAGATCCCATCCTGGCAAGCAACTCCGTGTATGCTGCACGGGCGAGCCAAGAGGTTGTTTTAAGAAGGCGTGTTTGTATGGGCACGCTCACGGGGTCAGGACAACATCAAAGGTAATGTTAAAAAAGAACCTTCTCCATGCCTTCTCTTTTTATATTCAGAAAGGTCATTTCTAAGCCAACTATTTGCAATAAGCCCTCTCCTGAGGCTTTTACCCCGTTGTTATTTTTGCCTGTGATTACAATAAGTCGCTTATCCCCCAAACAGATTTAAGAACAATAAACAAATACAAAAGGAAAAGGAACATCTCATCAATAACAAAGACTGCATCTAAAGGCATTGAGTTTTGTGACTCTTTTACATCTCTTTCCAAGTAAAGCAAGAGTCCAACAGAGAAAGGAATCCAAAAGATATGAAAATTATAAAAATAGTAAAAGGATCCAGCTTTAGTCAGGATCTTGTCCTTTCTGGGGAGAAATGGAGCTTGGGACAATCTTAGCACTGTATTTATATTAAGGCTTATTTGTGATATAGCTAAAATTAGTTTTTAAAGATATCCACTGTGGTGAAATGTGATAAATTGTATTATTCTCAATGTAGAGAGATACTTTCCCTGAATTTAATGCTCACATTTTGAAGTCAAATTGGGGGGGGGGGGGAACAAGATCTGTTTGCTATGCTGAAAAAACGGCCCAATGCTGATCAGTCACATGGAAGGAGCCTCCCAGGGTGATACCAGCTAGAAAAGTAACTTTTTTGTTGACTGGTGCTTCCAGTGATGGTGGCTTTTCTTTCTAAGGCAGACAGAGCATAGACACTAAAACTGTACAATTTGGTACAATTATATTCTCCACCCTTTCTTTCTGTCCCCCCCAATAAATTTAATGAAGGACTTTGAGGTACAATCCCTCATTGATAAATAGTTCCTCTCTGCCCAGAATGTTTATTTGACTGACAGCAGAATGCACTCTTCTTGCTTTTTTCCCTTGCTACTTATGGCTCAGATGAATTTTAATAGGAGCAAAAAGCTTGCTTTTTTTGCACTGTAATTTCACTTAAGGATCATAACCTTCAGAAACTGGCAGACACTTGGATGTCTTGATTGCAAAACACACACTCAGGAGTAAAGAAACATGCATAAGATGTTATTATCCAACCTGTCACAGTGTCGTAAATTTACTCTGAACTTAGGCTGTCAAAGCTCTTCCTTGGGGCCCTCCCCCGACTCCTTTTTAAATAGGTTCTGTAAAGAGCGCATTTAGAAATTTCCGCTGACCCTGTACCGAATTAAAGGGTGAATTCTATTTTGCTTTTTCATCCCTGCCATCATGATGCCCACAGGAGGCTTTGAGTTACAGCAGCTTTTTTGAACAAAATGGGGCTGCTTGGATGCTGCATTTGTCTACCCAAGGGAAATGCGATCTGGTAGGAATCCAAAAATCTTCAGGTGGTCGTTCCTGCTTCACTGACTAACACTTCCTCAAACCATTTTATCTTGTTTCTATTTGGATAGACCAAACTGAGGTTCATATATTTATTCACAGAGATCTAGGATTTTTCCTGCCAGGCAGAAGTTCTCATTACTGGAAATACTCTATTTGAATTGCCTTTAGTGGACCCATAATTGTTTGAGAGCCATCTACAAAAAGTGCCATTGAAATACTTGACTGTGCATATCGTTTTCTTTTAGTGGTTTTAAGCTCTTGATATACTGTCCCTTAATACAGAAGATATTACCATATTTCATCTGTATGTGCCCTAACCATCTTACAGAAAGACTACATAATACTGTGCTTAAGAAGAAAAGCTAACATTTTCAAGCGTGAATATAACATTTATGTCACTGGGAAAAAATTGAATTTTAAATATTGTTTTGCCCAAAATGAACACTGAAACCCTTTGTCTTAAGTTACTGATACATGGTACAGCCCCTCTCTTAAGGGGAGTGAGAAGTCAGAGACAGCACTCTGCTGCCATCTACTGGTGCCTGTTCACAGTCACCCCCGTTCTCCCTTGAGCTGACCCAGCTCGCGGAATTTGGGTTAATTGGGATGTTGTATAAGCGGTGAAGGAAAAACAAAGAAAATTCTTACTGTTCTCACTGTTTTCTTTACAACTTCAGATGTTTTTCTTCATGATACATGATGATAGCTGTCACTAGTGAATTAATGGAGGAGTTCTTATTTCAAGAAATCTCTTAAATAATTGGCTCAACGTATTCTGGAAAAAAATTAATATATTTTCTTTTTATGTACAACAATTAAAAGCCATGTGACTTCAAAGCTGATATAATTTAGATTTAAAAGGTTAAAAACTGACTTTGAATGAACACTACTTTTGAGGAGAAGTTCAGCATTTAAACTCATTTATGGTGTTTTTCCTTAAGTACAAGGTGCGTATCTTGACCAAAGTCGCTGCAGAATTGAACAAATTTATGCTGGAAAAAGTGGCTGAGGATACAAGCAGTATTCTTCGCTCCCCAATGCCTGGCATGGTGGTGGCCGTCGCTGTCAAGCCCGGGGACATGGTAAGGAGCTTGCCTGTCTGTGGGACGGGGGCAAACTGAAGCATGATCGTGCCCTGTGCAGGTCTTTCTTCAGTCATACTACCCCCACCAAATAGCAAAATAGCTTTTGTGCATTTTTTTTTTGTCCAACTGTTTCACATTTAAATTAGGTTAGTAGCAATATCTGAGTGCTTCTCCCTTCAAATGATCTGGAACTGGAACAGGAATAAGGCCTGATTGACTCTGTTATTTGACAAATTTGGAGTTCTAGGTATTTTATTTAAAATTTCTATTTATTCTCTAGCTCTCTGTGCTTTAAGCATCCTTGAAGAACCCATAGTTAAAAAATAACCCTCTGATGGGGAACTTTTTGCATTATATTTGGAATAAAAGGGAAGGGTACTAACAAAAGTTAATTCTGTAATCTGTACAGTACCAGAGCACTTCCTTAACTTGCTAAATAAATTTTAGGTTCACAGTTCTATGTTTTTCATCTTGGCTTTGTGACATTAAGGCAAAAATGAAAACTATATTAATATTTCCTCACATGTTCAGTCTCGCAATACTGTGCTACAGACAAATTGGTAGGATACATGCATTTTCTTTACAGTATTGTTAGAAGTCTCTATTTATTAGCAGTAGAAGTAAAAAGAAAACAGTCAACCAGAAAGAAAGGTTTCTAGGGGGCATGTAAGTACTTGCCTTTTTATTTATGTGCCAGAAAATAACAGCCAAATATGATAGTCTTTAATAAATGAGATGGTAATTCCATTTTGTATCTCAGTTTAGTGACAGGAGTTTATATTTTCCTGTGAAGATTACATTAAAACTGCCTCTGTATTTCTTTATTAACATAAATAAAATAATATTGAGGGAAAACTCATATAGTCATTGGCTTCTAGAAAAGTACTTATAATAAGTGAAAAATGATTAGTTTCAGTTATTGAAATGATTAGCCCCGAAATTGTCACATGAAGTTGGAAAACTGACTTAATTGCTTTACCTGATGATATGGAAATGGAACTACTAGTTTTTCTAGAAAATCATAAAAGAGGCTGAGGAGCTATGAATTGTTACGTTTACTTATAAAGCATTGATATTCTTGGAAGAAAGCACTCATTATGCTTGTCTAACACCCAAGAGTCCAGGATTTGGGAGAGGTGATACTTAAAAATTAATTACATATATATATATATATGTACATTAATTATACATATATATATGTATATATGTATGTATGTATATGGGGAAGGGGTTGCCTTGTGTTTCTTCATTCTAAAGGATTGGGGTCTTAAGGAGATAGTCCCTTGGCCTTGCCAGTTAGCATGTGTACACTCATACTAATTATCAGAGCAGTTAGTGGAATCTTCTAGTGACCAGAAGTGTAGGTTGGTAAACAATGTGAGAAGGTTATTTTATTTTTTATCATTTTCCATCTTAAGCTTTTTCTGGAAGCCACATAAGCTGTATACTGCCATCCTGAGCTTGTCAGTCTTAGTTGTGTGGCTTTAATTATAAAATCACATTTGTGCTTAAAAAAAAAAAGTCTTTTAATGGCAATCTTTACTTTTCCAACACCTGAGTCAAGACGTGAGCAAAGGAACAGAAGGACCAGGGAGAGAGGTGGCTCCTGCTGAGAGCACAGAGGGAGGAGACTCACATTGCAGTCTTGCTCTTCCACTTGCACCAGTTTTCTGGCTGCGCCTGCTCTCAGGGCAGAGAACAGGTAGCGTGCAGCCTTCTTGTTTCCAGCAACTGCTTTCTCCTAGTCTAGCTTCTCCAGATACCAGAGGGTTTAGCCTTCATACTTTCAATTTCCTGGTTAATGACTTAATGTGGGAAAGCAAGGTACTTGGTAAAACGGAGGGAGCATTGTTGCATTAGTCCTTGGGTAGCTCAGACATTGAAAACCACCACCAGTGATTAAATGTGGGTATTCAAGAATGGTTTAATTTGAGAATTGACTGGCGCCTCTGTTGCATGTATTCCTTTAAAGTGAGAGGACATGGCTTTGGGGGAGGGTGGCTGTGCACCCTAGTGAACTGGCTCCTCTTCTCTGTGTCCTTCACCTTACTTATAAATGCTCTTTGCACGCATGTACCTCGGCTGGTCTGGCAGAGCATACACTTTCTTTTTATTCCTCTCTCCAACTTCCAGTGCCACTTCTAGTCCTTATGGAACTTCCTTTTATATTCTGTGCCTTTGTGTTTTAATACAATAGTATTTTCTCTTGAGTTATTTTTTGTGAAAAATGTCCCAAACTGCTAATACCTAAACCAAATGCAGGGTGAAATGTTTGTCACCTTGTACACTTGTGTAGTTAAATCTGCTTCATGTAATTAATACACAAGAAACTTTCCTTGGACTAAAGGCACAGCATTTACTTGAGGCCACTTATAAGAAAATAATATCTGTAACTTTTAAGTTTTATGGTCTAAAATTATTGGAAAACTGCAGGGCATTTTGTGTTGTTCTTAGCGGTAACAGTAGCTGAGCATTTTTGTCAGTAGGAAGAGAAAGGAATCAATCATCTCAGTGTATTTTCAAGGAAAACAAGGACCTTAAAAAAAAAAAATAGCTGAGGGCCTCAAAGTATTCTATTTTTCTTTGAAAGGTTATTTTTGGTGGTTTAAAATCCAGTTATCTGTAATTTTTATATTTAGCTGAATAAGACTTGACAAATCTTAGAATGGTGTCACATAAATAATAAACCACAAATCTATTTTTGTGAAGTAAACAATTTTAATAGAATTTTAAAAATCTCAGGACACAATGATTTAGGTGGCACGTTAGAAGCAATAAAGGCACCCAGAGAGCTTTGAGGGGAAGGGTCTCCTGTCCTGCAGCACAGAAGCTGCATTTTACTCTAAGTGCTTTCATCGGGTTCAAACAGCAAAAGTTTCTAATACTTTTTTAATGTGTACTACATACTATTCAACATTAAATGTGGTAGTAAAATCTTTTTAAAATGATTATATAATAACCTTTTCGAACATGTGGGGATTCTAGTTAATAAACAGTAAAATTCACATAAGCAAACAAACCAATTAGAAACAAAGTAGAACTGGATTATGAAGTCTAGAATCACAAATTTAATTCAGAAAACAATTGATAAAATGACTTTTAGATGCCTTTCTTAAGTACATTTTTATATGCCTTCTGAAAATATTTTTAATGACTGATTTTTACTTTAGTTTGAAAAACACCCATTTTTCTGTATATTTAACATTATCATAAACTGGGGCACTTCTGTAATCAAAGTTAGCATTTTTAATAGTTTGTTTTAATCATAACTTTTATCTTTATGATCTTAAAAAATGGCTGTATTGTTTTAATCATAACTTTTATCTTTATGATCTTAAAAAAAGGCTATATTTTTTTCCAAAAAGTATAAATACTTTTTTTTCCAGCATTAGATTAGATCTATTGAATATATTGCACAATTTTCATTTGACTTTTAAGTATAAAGTCATTATAAGCACATTCATTTTGTTAGACTTTTGATATCAGACACAAAACAAAAAATACAAGCCAATGGGATAATTTAATTTTGCATTTAATCAAGATTTGTTCTAGTTATGTTTAGATTTTTCAGTCATCTCAAATTTGCACCAGAAATTTTTATGTTATTTATTACATCTAAAATTAAGTAAGACACAAACCAGAAGCAGGCTGTGTACCCATTTATGTTTCTTTCTTTCTTAATTATTACTTTGTGACTTATTAGTTTGTGAGACCAGGTAAAATAATAGATTGACATTAAGTACCTGTTGCTGTTTTTTCCTGCTACTAAGGCCATCCACTATTAGCAAGACAGATTGTGGTATTTCGGGTGGGGAGCAAAATAAAGGATGATGCGCTTTTTAGCAGAACCGACCTTTAGTAGCAGGTAATTAGGTGTTTGGAATTATTGTTCTCATAAACAGCAACTTACACAAAAAAGACGGGGATGCTATAAAACATAAAATTTGGAATCATTAATAGGAGTACCGTCTAGAATTCACCCTGATCTCTCTTCCTCCTTGCATTTACTCCTCCAGGGAAAGAGCACCCAAACAGGTGGATGAGTGAGCGTGTTTGTCACACCACCCTTTTGTCCCCAAACCATTTGCAATTGAGGTTTCAGCTGATCTTGGAGAAATCGCAAATAAACTGGATGAGAGACCTTTATTTTTCATTTTGTGAATGAGCAGGATTTGAAACCCCCTTTGCACTTAGGTGTTCCAGATGAGAAGGGCTGGATTGGGCCCTCCTGACGTGTGTTTGTCTGGCAGTGACTTGCGTACCCCATGCAGCCCAATATCAGTAGCAGCATCTTTCCCTGGCAGAGGACCTGGCCTGGCTGTTTGATAGATTTTCCAGTTTTTGGATTTCTTGATTTACAATCAGGAAATAATTGCAATGATTAAATTTACATATTTTATAGCAGTAGTTATGCAAGCAGTTTATTTGATAAGGTGCCAGTTTTCCACCCAAACCTCAGAATGTATTCCAAAGCATATACAGACTCATATATTCATTATTTAACATGTTTAAACTTTAAATTATGAAATATTACAAATATACAGAAAGTTATAAAGAATACTCTGAGTACTCCTATGCTCTCTGCTCACCTTATTTACCATATTTGCTTCTCATTTTTTTTTAAACACAAAAACACTGCATATACACTGAACTTGCCCTTTCTCCAATGGAATTCTTGTCCTGCCTCCTTCAGAGGTAACAGCTATCCTGAATTGGGCCTTTTACTCTCTTCCAGGTAGCATTTACTTTTAAACATTAGGGGTAATTTTTGTTGGAGGTAACAATTATATTTAATTATTTAAATTAATGATAATTACCAGTCTAAGATAAAGTATTTTTACAGATTAATCAATATATTAAATATTGTAGAAAAATCTTCTGCAAATTTGGCATTCGACTTAATTTTTCAAGGAATGATCCACTGGAGATTATAGGGGATGGTATCTTTGTTTTAAACATTTTTGAAGATAACAGTTCTCAACCTTACCAAGCTTCAA